TGTTGCCAATATATATTTAGTTATATAGCCGTTCGGCAAATGCTCTGGCGTACATACGCACACGTTTAGCACAGATTCCAGACATATTCAATTGCAATTCTTATCCAATATTTAATTAATAATATGACAAGTGCCTATGGGTGTTATCATCAGCTGTGACAGAAAAAGGGATGGTGTAATTAGATTCTTTAACAAAGGCTTCTTGAATGTACAAACAATGTATTGTGTGAAAAGGAGGTCTTCCGTTACTCGGTAAAACAAACTAGCTATTAACTGTATTTTGGTAGTTGTTGCATAGCTGTAGACAAAGCATTTGGCTTTGCTGATATTAAACCGTGATTAAACTGTACTTGTGGCAGAACGGTAGAAATGTTGAGAACTTGCACACATGCTGACACAAATCAGATAAACAGCCCACGTGCCTTAGTGGACAAAACGGTAGATTGATGCATTGTGAAGCGTGAAACATTTGGTCCAGCTTTTGTCTTGTCATTCCTTCAACACATGTGGTTCGCATTCAAATGACTTTGTTTACTTACAGAAGGGTAAACCTTTAACGGCCATAAGCCTCTTGGTGTGTAAGTGACCTATAGTGGTAGGTAACAGGTTGTATGAAGACAATTGAAGTTGTCACAGTTCTACAATTAACAGATTAAATATTTGATTATTTTCTTCAGTTGCAGAATCTTGTAAACCAGAAAGCCAAACCATGATTGTAACTTGTTTAGTAACCTTTATTTTTGGAATTTTAAGAAAGAAGTTTTGCAGTTAGCAAAATGGTTTTGGGGAAATTCAGAGGATGAAATAAAAATAAAAAGTTGCGTATGGTAAAAGAAATACCTTAGGGTCTTGCTCGAGGTCTTGTAGTATAGTTGTATTGTAAAGAAACAATGTGACACAAAAATTTAGTATTGATTAAATTGTGATGAATAAATATTCCCATTGGGAGGCCCGGGGTGCTGGTGAGCGTTTTAAAAACAAAGAAAAATGTCCCCACTAAACCTTCACGCCCCTTACTCATCAGCTCTATATTTCAGTCTCCTAGATGTGCCACTGAATATGCTGAAGGCATGCGGTATTAGTAATCCTGTCATCTTCCAATTGAAAGGTCAAAGGTTAGATCATGAAGTTGCCAACTTGTTGGTGCCCTGGGGCAAGGCACTTTATCTATGTTGTCTCCCTCTCAACATGGGTACCTAATGGGTTTGGATGCTTATGTCACCCGATTACTAGCCGAGACATTATGGGATACTCCCCAGGGGGCTGAGAGTGTGTGCTCCATAGGTGTTTTATACAATGACAACCGGGGTAATTAGTGAAGATGGATAGATGCCTCGGCATTGATTGCCATGAGAACAACATTTGAATAATGTTCAGTATTTCGCATAGTGTACTATAGATTAATGATTGATTGCTTGATTTCATATATTTTTTGTTATTAAAAATGAAGTAATTGTTCATTAGTCATCCATTATATTCATCATAGTACAAAATATAGTTTCTCTGTGACTCCCCCTCCCCTCCCCCCCCCAAAAAAAAACAACCAAATAATGGTTTTTATCATTTTTGATATCATAATTTTATATTTCCTAATAGAGTACACTGTCAACCACCTCTCTTCCCCCTGCTTGTGCCAGTCCATTTTATATATTTTTATTTTTAAAACGTATTAGTATTTGGCCAAAAAATGCAAACATCATTGAGAGTCCAGCCTAGGCTAAAATAGTTTTGGCCCAGTCCTCGCAGAGAAAATCAAGGCATCACAGTATTTTTGTTTGCTAACATTTGGTATGTTTAGATGTAGTTGATTGGAAATTGGTTCCGTAATAGCGAAGTTATGAATATTTAATTTAAAAGTTTTTAAAGATTCCAAAATCAATAGTTTATTATTTGTAGTTTAAAATTAATTTAAATATACTTTTGGTTAGATTTAATGATTGATATTTTGCAGAAATGTTCATGAATTATATCTTTTATAAAATGCATAAATGTGAAAATGTTCAAAATTCGTTTTGGGTGCTTGCAAGAAAATAGAAATGCAGGGTTTTGCCAGAGCCGGTCACATTTTGGTTGCGTATCTCTGAAGTTGGTGTGTTGTATTCCTAGGTGGAAAATTCTAAAGTTTACAACATTAAAACATGTATGACACTACTGCGTATAAGTAGATGTTTAAAGTTAATTTAATTTAGCACTTAAAAGAAAAAACAAATTTATTCAAGTTATAAATTTCTTACTATGTTTATGTAATACAATTATACGACTAAATTATGTACAATAAATGGGATTTTACAATTATTGAAGTGCATGTTTATAGAAGAAACACAACATCAATACATTTTGACGCTAGCAGAAATTGATCATTTTTACCAAGGCCGACTACATGAGGATTCTGATCTGGCCATGCGTAACCATCATGTATACGACTTTCACAGATAAAATGATCAGCATTACCATAACATGGCAGCCTGTCTCCGAAAATCCATTCTAGTTTACTGTCACATCACTCTTCAGTATCTTGTACTGAAAGTCCCTTAATTTTTGCGAAATTTTTTAAATTTTACAAATCCAAAAAATCATCATTAATCGTAAATTTTTAAAATTGCATGTTGTAGAATTTTGAATAGGTCGACCTGCATTGAAAGCTACTTGTGTATTCAAGGCAAATGTTAGGAAGCTAGCCTAGCTTTAGGCATTTTGTTAGATCAGTACCTATAGTATACTTATCAGAAACTATGCACACTGTAAGTAATTCAAAATACTGGTTGGAATACATTTCATGTACATATCCTACTATATGTCTACTTTTTCAATTTCTGGTATTTTAATTATTTGTTTTTTTGGTTTTTTTTCTGCATTTTTTTTTATACGCCTATTCAAACCATGTTCCCTATCTTTTTTTTACTTTTCTCATTTTTTCATGCTTCTATTCCTGCCCTCTATTTATTTTATCCTTTCCTCCTCTCAGCCTCGTGTACACGCTATTTGTTTTGCAGAAGGCTGAGATCGTGGTCAGTGTTTTATTAGCGTGTTTAATTCATGTCAAGCAGTTGATATTTATCGGAAAATGATGAGGTAGTCCTTTTAAACTGTGTTTAATATGCTCATATATTGTACCTGACAACCGGCAGTTTTTTTCCCTGTTCACAAACTAGTTGAGACGTGAAAAGATATGCAATATATGGCAGATAATTGCTAAAGAGAAAAAGTACATAGGTTATATGAATATATATATATATTTTTTATTACATTCAATTATATCGCTTTGCATATTCTACTTTTAAATGTTAAGTGTTAGTTTGAATTTGATCAATCAAAACAAAATTTAGCTTGACCTTAAAAAGTCAAAATGTATTTTATTCCTTGTATATTGAATACTGTAATACCTTAAATTGAAGCCATGGGCTTCCCTTTTTTCGCGAACTTTAGACGGGCTTCTTTTAGATGGACTACTTTTCAAGATGGGCTTCTTTTCGAGACTACTTTTGCAGAGTAAAGAGGGGGCTTCTTTTCAAAATGAATGCTGTAAATTTTGTGAATTTGTACAGTTTAGCAATAGATATGGAGTGTATTTAACTGGCATTAAATCACCTAAAACTAATGTATAAACCAAGCTTGTTTTTAATTTATTTTGTTTTCTGAAATTCATGCACAGTGTATGTACTATACTATTTCGAAAAGAAGCCTATGCTATTTTAAAAAGAAGGCCATGGGCTTCTTTTCGAGGCAAAACTAAAGAGGGAGCTTCAATTTGAGATGGGCTTCATCTTGAGATTAAGCCCACTGGGCTTCAATTCAAGGTTTTACAGTATTTACTTGAAGATCATCAGGATAGTGTGGAAAAATAAAACTGTGTTTCTTGTTTAGCAACATGGTTTTACTAAGAGTAAAGGAAAAAAATACCATATGTTCTAGTGATTAACTTATTATTTGATTTAACCTATTGTCTAATTTATGCACTTACACATTACAAATTTTTATTATGTATTGTATTTGTACAAGTATCAAGTACCAAATTCCAACTAACACATGTGGTACACATCGACCGTTCGTATATTTTGTGTCTTGTGTGTTTGTTGAGCTTTTATATACTTAAAATTACTATCATTTTGTGGTAGATTTATGAACATTAAGAAAAACCCATGTAATATAAAAATCTTTATTGAGATGTGGTCCTAAAAATGTATTGTCCCCTGAAAAATAGCAATCAATTAAAAATGAAATTGTTTTTTAGAATTTACAAAATTTTGTTTGGTATAATTACCTATAGTATACCACATAGTGTAGTTCTGCAAAGAACCGTTGTTTGTTGTCGGCATACAATTTACTATATTTGAAAAATGTTTGTCCTGATTTTTGTATTGGAACATGATAAGAGATAGTTCAAATTCCAAATCTTTCAAAGTGCTTCTATCATTTTTATTATTTTTTCAATTATAATAACTAATAAAACTATAAAATCAAGCATATGGACCTAAAAATTAACATGCGATTCAAAGACTTGTTATTGTCATGAATGTTAAAGATAGAAAGTTGGTCCTTATGCGTGTTATTGTTTCACTTGGGCTTGGTTCTCGTACTGGAGTAAAAAGCGAAACAATTTGAAAGGTCACAGTTTTTGAAACTGAAAGCCAGTTATTATAAATTCATCAGAAAACAAGTTGTGAGAACGGTTTCATGGCTTTTAGATTGTTATTATCATTTACGACTGACTTGCTGAAGTTTTTCCTTTGTTAGCAAATAATAGCTTCATGATATTAGTAATATTTTTTTGGCAACAGGTTGCTCACTGTTGTTTAACATATGAAAAGCTCCAGGTTCTGTAGAATGGTTCACTTATTCAGCCCTCCACCAATCAGATCCTGACAAGAACAATATGTTTAGTCAAGTGATAGTCCTTGCCTGTGTTGTGGTGGCTTGTGCAATTATCACAGACTGTAGTAGAGGCTACCGACCAATCAAAAGCCGGTTAGATAGGTTTATTTATAGCTCAGTGAGTTTATCACATGTTATTCCTATTGGACCCGTATCAAGCGAAGCAGTGGATGTGAAAAGAGGGAACTCAAGTCCAATAATTTGGTACAACAGATAAGCGTGTAATTATAATACCAGGATTTCTGTTTTTCTTTTGGAGAAGTACCATATATCCTCTGGTTGCTGGTTTTGGGTGCAGGTTTCATTACCGATGAATTACTAATTCCTGTTACAGTATTGCTCCGTCTGGTGCTGAAGTGTTTTACTGGTGTGGAGATCGTTGATATTATATTTGACTCTAGTTTTCTATATATATATTTTGATTTTTTCCGACAATGATGATGGACACCTCCGGTTTAGTAATGATACCTTACTCACAGTACCCTATAATATACCATCAACCTGTGCATCAGCCTATAGCAGTGCCAAGGGTAAGCATGATTATTTCAGGTCTTTTAATTCGTTCTTTTTATGTAACTTTGTGACTGCTAATGCTGGATGGCCTACGTGTCTTCTTTCTGCTTAACAGCTGGTGGATGTACTGAGCATAATACTTAGTTTCTCACGAGCGAATACCAGTTGGGAAATAGCAGACGATGACTGCTTGCAGTAAGCATAGGTAGCAAAAAGAGGAAATGAAGCCCGTGCATGTGTGACTCATTCTAAGGTTCATCAAGCACACTAAATGAGTCACTGCGATGATCATAGAGCAACATGACACGACATGGTCACGCACATGCTCTGATCCGGTAACATTGATATGTGTTTTATATGCTACATACACTTATTATACAGCAAATGTTTCATGCGTAAGATCAAGAATACCTCATTCTAGCATAACCGGTTTTATGTAATTGGGAACTTAAGGCTTTCTACAACCACGGTCATTATTAGGATCCAATAAGGATTCATTCATACCCTGTCCTCTGTATTAGGTATCACTTATTGTCTGCAATTGAATTATCCTACTTCGTTTGTTATTTTACCGGCAACAGTTTCCATGTGTGCTACATTATATTTACTTGAAAACGCATCATGAATCGCATATTGGATATAAACCATAATGTAATTGAATGCTGCGTATATCAACATGGCTACAGCATTAGAATCTACCTTTACATCTGGTTTATGAATTTGCATTTGAAACAGATCTTTTGTTTCGCATCTATCAAATTACCCTCAACCTTGGAATAATTGTCTATTTCAAAGTTTAAAATTAGTTGTGAATATATAACCATGGAGGAAAGTTATTATTTTAATATAGTATTTCTTTTTGATAATTAAGAATCCGTAGAGTTTTAATTCAAATTCAGGTTTTCTTTTATGGGTTTCTGTTCAAAAGAGAATTTTAATTTGAATATTTTTCTGCTGTGCATAATAATGCGGATTTTGATACGAACTATGCATTTTAATGTATGAATATATTAACCATAGAAATGGATTTAAAGTACAGGGAGGACGTCGGATGCATAGTAATCGAGGTTGAATGTTAATTATTACAAATAACATCTTTCTAATATTTGAGGGAATGGAAGTTAATTATCAAATTAGATCTCTCTGATGAGTTATTTCTTTAGATTAAACAGGTGAAAAGTTTCCTTACCAGTAAATTTGTTACAAATTCATTGATGCTGTCCAAATTTTTGCATTAGTGGACAATTTTCTACGAGAAAAATGGCAAAGTTTAAACTGAGGCTGTCTTCCCCCTCCCAGGTGACTATTTCTTAATACCACTTGTCTCCTTGCTATATTGTGGTCCCGAATATTTGTCAACCGTGCTATTTGGCAATCGTACTTAAGAGCAATCTTTCAGATCACATTCCCGGATGATCCCCTGTAAGTAGCTGAATTTGAACAGAATATGCAGGATGGTGATATTGTGCTACGGAAATGGTTTTCCAAAAACATAAAATGCATTTACATAGAAGTAGACAAATCTCAGGATTTTAGGGAGGCAAAAAATACAAATTGAAATAAAGCCTTTTAAAGCAATTTTCTAAATAAGCTATACTGGCATCTTGTTGATTTTTTTTACTCTGCTTTAAAGAAAATTAATTCAGACAAACTAACATGCATACTTATTTTCATATTAAGAAATCCAATATGCATTACTGTACATGATTTGCAGAAAGGGATTTTTTTCCCAGTCCCTTGAATGGTTTCAATTGGCAGTAATGGCCTTTGTCAGAACAGCAAACTATACTTCTCGAAATACAATATATTCATTTTTATTGATGCAAACTAAAATTTGACAGACATTTCTGTTTAGGTTTAAATTAAAAGTTATTCTCAGTCTTACCTTGTAACTTATTATATAACTGATTAGAATAGTACTTAATTATACAAACATAGGTAATATTAATACTTGAAATAATTATTCATGCATGTTGAAAATAGAAAATTTAAATTGTAAATAAATATATTTGATTACATCACAACCATTTAGAAGATACAAGACAAGGAGTGACTGGGATAGATAACACACCTTGTTCTTTTATCTTGTCTCTTTCCTCCATTTCCTCTCTCGTAAGATCCTGATGGCAAAACTGGGAGGAAGTAGTGCATGACGATTGTTGATATTAAACCCCAAAGTATTCACTCTGCTGTGAAACTTAACAAATTTAGCAACCTACATTTCCCATCCTGTTGAATTAATCAGGATTGGAAAAGTTAACTGTTAGAATTCATTTTCTGTTCACTCATTTGTAGTGATCAATTTTTTGGTTTTTAATTATTTGCAGATTTTAACTAACTGAAATATTTTAATAATTATTCCCTTTACCAATTCAAGAGTCTTAAATAATATAGGAACACTATTATTTTAATAATCAGGTTTATAATAAACACATTTTTTTCTTGTTCTAATTTTCAATTGAAATCGAATATTAAAAGTAAGAAATTTAATATTGAGTGATTTTTTTTAAAATTATTTTAAAGTTTATTACCTTATTTGATATAATATATCTTTAAGTATGTAACTAGAAGAACATTATACTCATTACATAAGTATTTAAAACTTCTATTTTTAAAATGTCTTCTATATTTCGAGTTGATAAGTTCAGTAGTTGTTCTTTCACCTCCCACTGGGATATGCTTAAACAAAACAGTAAAAAATCTTATATTTTTAATGCAACAAACATAAATCATATCTGTAGTACATTGTTTGCTGATTAAGGATTCCAGGTTTTTAATATCTTTGTTGAATAGAGGGTGTGCATTAGGCAGTCTCTTCAGTGTAGATAATCAGTATTATACTTTCAGGCACTTTTAATCAGGGCTGGAAAAAGTGCGCGACCAACGGTCGGAGGCATTGTGAATGTCCCGGAGGTGTTTCCAGGGGAAAAGATATTTTAAAAAAAACAAACTGTTGGGCTCTAATAGTGGACGGATAACATTTGGTAATAGGAGGCAATTTATATGATCGGAGGCATAAACTTTTTTTTTTTCAGGCTTGCTTTCCATTCTGTCATTTTATGTGACAAATTTGTGTGATATGTCCATACATGGCCATAATGATGTCATATTACATCCAAATATGGGCATATCACTTTTTTTTTTTGTGACAAAATTTGATAGTTTGGAGAGCTTTAGTTATTTTACTGTGTTTGTCTAGAGTAGTTTTTCCATCTAGAAATTAATCAAGACTTTGATCGGGAAAATTGTCATCAATCTCGAATCCGATTCGGATTTAATTGTATTGTCAGTATTCTCCATGTACACATGATATATACATCTATGAAGTATTCGTTTATATCCTTTTTATTAATGTCATATCTATCTTAAGGGCATGGACATTTTTGTGTATCGTATGGTGCAGCGGAATAAGAACAAAAAACTTCAGTCAGTCATTCTGTCAGGGCCAGTTTATGAATAGTTGAAAATAGTCAATCGTAAAGACGTCTTCTACTTCTTGTTCGTCTAGATAAATTGATGTTGGGTCAGGGAAAGGTTCATCAAGCGTTAAATTTTGATGTTTTATTTAAATTGAAGTTTTAACTTGCAATTTCATAACGATCTTAATGGTGGATATGACATATTTCTATTAAAATTAGCATATTTACATCGTAACGCTTTCTCTTCGTGTTGAGGTCATTAAGTAGCTATATTGCTTTGAATGTTATAGAAAGCAATACTGCTACGTCAAAAATTTATCTATTATATTACAAAAGCTTATTCGTTGCAAAGCAAAATGTCCCCAGGCAGCTCTCATTCTTCTGCTCCGAGATGATCGCGAGTAAAGGTTTTTCATTTTATTAGTTATAAAATTTGGTAGGAATAGCAGTTTCATTGGCTTAGAATTAGCTATCGATAACCATCGTGTCATTGAGAACAGTTTGGCCATCTACAAAAGCCACATTCATCATTTACATCCAACCACTTATTACCGAACTCGTACACTTATAACGATATCTTTATTTTCAAAGATGCTTTCGTCTTTGAAAGAAATTATGTCGTGCTAGATGTTATAGTGTTTTATGTTTATTTTTGTTCTATCAAAGCTTTTCTAGAAAGAGCATAGAATAATAGAAATGCAAGAATTCAATAAATAAAGTACTTTATTGTGGAATAAATTCAAGACAATATTCAAATGGATTAAACAAACGAATAATAATCTAGAGACTAGTTTTAAGTGAAGTGGGTGATTGAATACTCGATAGGCTTATTTTGAATTTTTGAACTCGAGTATGAAATAAATTTATTGCTGATGTGGCCGAAAAGAGTTGTATTGCTTTAGAAGAAAATAAATGGTTTCTGTTTGTCAAAGCGCATCGTTTTGGAAATGAAGCTCACCAAAAATAGCGTTTATCCTCAGGTTATTTATCTGTTAGTTATCTAGTCCGTTTGTGAGTCCATTCCGTCAGTCCTCTGGTCCATTCCATCTGTGCGTTCATTTATTTCTCCGGTCAATCATTCACCCGGTCATGGACCATCCATCAGTCATTTCGTTTCTTCCGAAAAGCTAGAACAGGAACAGATTTTAGATTGGTTTTGTCGCGTTGCCAAGCATCATTAGGTTCAAGTTTTTCTCTGAAAAGACGTCGTTTCATTCTGTAGTTGAAGTATAGAAACTGAAATGACGCGGCAGTGAAAAACGTTACAAAAAGCAAATTTGAAGTTGATACACAAACTGGAAATTTACTTGAACGACAGAAACCTGTGGAAATGCCAGTGTATTTGATTTGATTTCACAGCATGGTGGAATTATATTATTTTTTATTACTTTACAAAGGCAAGGCAAAATTCTATGTGTGTATTCACTCACTACATTATAGCAATGCAATAAAATTGTGTACTGAAATATTCAACATATTCGCAATATTGATGTCTATTTCCGTTGTCTCTTTATTCTAGTATTTTCTCTGTCTATCAACTGTTGTTTAAAAATTGTGTATGTTGAAAATAATCGTGTTATAAAAAAATATGATATGCA